GCTCTCTCTCTTCTCTCTCTCTCTCTCTCTCTCTCTCTCTCTCTCTCTCTTTGTATATATCTCTCTCATCGCAAGCCTCTCTTGTCTTCTCTCTCCCTCGTGCAATCAATAATGTTCGCCGCCGACGTTCCCGACGACTGCGCAACGTAACACGCCGTAGCTTTCGGCGTCGCTGCGCAACTTTTCTTTCCTATACATCACGTATATAATAGTCTCGATTAGCACACACGAGGCTGTCCGTTTTGTTCGCTATATATCGCCCGCTTGAATCCTACACTCCATTATTTTCAGCATAGGTAATGTTACTTTGGAGAATGACGTGTCGTCCGTTGGGATGAAAAATGGGCCGAGTGATATACATCAAAACGAAACCGAGATTGTACATATTTAGAATATGTCCGTTGGTCATGCGGATTAGTTCGGTAAATGATGACTTGAACAGAACATAGGAATTTTTATTTTTGTGAAAATCTCGACTTTAGTAAGCTTTAAAATTCTTACATTAAAATTGAGTCCTTAAAGATAAGAAATATCAACTTAGAGTGTATTAAAATCTTCTTTTTTTAAATGCGTATAATTGAAAAGCTCTTAATATCTTAACTGTTCTGTCTGTTTGCACAGATATCATCTCGGCTATTGATGAAAAATAATTTCTGTGTTTTGGACATATTTTTTGGGCGAACGTCTTGTAAAAATAAATTTATAATTATTGCTTAATTTTAAAAGCTAAATATTAACGAATTAGTTAGAATTATTAGAATCAATAAATTTGGAAAAATAAATACATCTCGGAAAGTTCCTCGGGCATAAACATTTTAGAAATATGCGACTTTAAGTTCATGAAGTTCATTCTACCGATTTCATAACTTTCGTTATTGGCACTGATAACACATTGGACTTCCGTCATTCCGCAACCCTTCCTTATTCGGCACTTCTCTGATCGATTCTGGATAAACCGCATCCTCGCGAGGAATAACTCCGATAACTCCGTATGATGAACAATCGTGACATAAGGCATTCCCAGAGAAACTGCCAACGCGTGCAGTTACCGCATATCTGCCGTGTGACCCAGATAAAAGGATGACAGAAGGATATGGTCAGGTGGGGCTTTTGTCTGCCTTTGCAGAAGTCGAGAAGTCTCATCAGAGTACCTATTCTTGACGAATAAGACACATCTCTCGAGAACCTAGTTAGTCAAGAAGCATTCCTCCTCTCTTTCCTGAATAACCTGGCAAAATTAGAATTTCTAAGTTGGAAAGAGATGTAGATGAGAAATAATAAAATGCGTTTTACATAGTTAAAACGCATATGAATTTCATGACAATCTTCTCCTGATCATTCTCACGTCAATTTAATTTTGAATTAATTTCTAATAGCTCAACAGTTAGTATTAGTAACTTATGTCTTCTGAATGAATTTCTATCTTTTTAATTCGCTTGTCTTTTACAGGATAAGTATCCCTCCATCATTTCGCTGTTTAATCTCGATGTCACTTTTACACGGAGAGGTCGAGACTGCCCTGGATGAATTGTGTCTGTAAAATTGTCACATTTTAATAATTCCGTCGTATCGCTGTCTCTCTCTCTCTCTCTCTCTCTC